GGTACTTGCACTTCTATTCGATAATGTCTACCGCAGTTGTAGACGAAACGTCTGACACAAAAACATGCAGGCTAAGGTCTACAAATTCGGAAGATTAACAGTTACCTTCGGCCGTGAAAGTTTATATTTTTTATTCTTTCATTAATTTCAGTAGGTGTTCTTCAAATGTTAATCCGCAATCCAATTAGGACTTTCAAGACATTTTGTTATACAGATAGGTTTAATTTTTTCATTAATTTTGTTTTCAAGTTCATCATATCATGATTCATTACTGAACACTATTTTTTATTCATTTATTTAAAAAAATACTTCCCACATACTTTTCATTGTGTTGCATCACACATGATATCATGGATGTACTAATATATAAGTCTGTTATCTGCAAAATGGATGAAATTTAAATAAAAGTCTTTTGGAGGAGTATTGGGGGTAGGTGTACAACCCTGGGGTACTTTATTGTTATTCATTTTACATCTAATGAGTTTTATTCACTGTCTTCTATTGTTAATATGCCATGAAACAAGGAAGAAACTATATGTTGCTGTATAGAGTGGTGTTTAGATCGTCAGAAGTTTTACTTAAGTGTGTTTTTGAAGTCCTTGATAATTGCTTTTACGAAAACAACTGGATGGAAATTAAAGTGATGATTTCATAAAACATTTTCACAGGAAATAGATAATAAAATAAATTTGAGTTTTCATTGGCCTTTTTGGGGATTCTCTCTTCCACAATCTGAAAATCTCCAAAAAAAGTCTATAAAAAACAAGATTTCCTCCACAAGAACTAACTACTTTTTTAGGGATCCTGAGTCGGACACTGGATTCAACATAGACAAAAGGAATCGCAGATCTTCGGTAGGTATCTTATTTATTCATTTGTTCATTTATTTATTCATTTAATACTTGAGTACAGTGTGTACATTTGCTATGTAACAGTACAACCAAAACATAAATCTTGAAGAAAATCAAAAATAAGGAACATTTCAAAAAAATCACATCAATGTAACTAGAGAATAAATGTATTTTTTTTTTAGATTCTGAAATCACGAAAAAGTACAAATCATCCATCAGATGAATCGACTACAGAAGTCTTCACTTCAGCAAAAGCATCAAGAAGGGTCAGCTTTGCAAACATCAATTTTATCAAGTTTGTATTTTTGTTATTATTCAGTTATTACAAAATGTAAAATTTTTGAGAATTCATCCAATTTTTTATGTATTTCGAACAGACCTTTCGCTGCAGATCCAGAAAAAACCACAGTATGGGATAGTACTTACGAAGAGGAAGTTAACCACAGTGATTTTTCCAAATCGGTGGATGCGATAAGCCCAGATTTTCTAAATGTAACCTCTATCGGCTCTTCTGAGACTGTTGGCAAACCTCCAATTCAGATATGGGAGTCTACTACCAACAGTAAATATATTCAGTACGAAATAGCACAGGGAGTAAATGAGTGTGATAAAGAGAATGCTATGCCAATTGTAAAAACTATAATTTCTAAAAATGAGACTGTCATATATGATCCATCTGAATCCAATATGGAATTTACAGGGACCTACACAAATGGGGATTTCAAGGTACCAAACAGTATAGTGGAGTTTGTAAAAAGTCGAAATTCTCAAATCAAAACTGGTTCTTCAACTAGTAGAGATTTTGAAATGGAACTTACTTGTGATTTTTCTAAGACCAGGAGTGGTACAGCCACTGTAAAGCCTGGAACAGAACCCATTTGTGACGATATGGAAATCATGACGGATTCAAAAAATAAAACCATCAGATCAGCAGATGACATGGAATTCACTCTCCTCACTGATATAGTTCCAAAGGTTGTGAACGATGAGATGGAATTCACTGCTGTAGTAACTGATACCAAACTTATAAATAATGTACCATGTTCTGAACCTAAATCAGCAGTTTTCAAACAGTTGTATGATAATAATTTGCCAGTCAGAGCTGAGGATATTGATATGGAATTGACCACCAACTTGGCCACAGGTGGCTATTTTGTGAGTAACTCAAGAACTGGTAAAGTCGAAGACGCTCCCAGATCTGTGAACCAAATTGAATGTACCACCAACTTACCCAGAATTGAACAAATGTATGATATGAATGTACCACACAGAGACATTTGTAATAAATCAATATTGAAATCACAACAATTCTCAGCAAAAAAAACTATTACCTCTGATGTGCAGAATGTTCCCAATGAAGTTAACATGGAATTCACCTCCAATTTACCTATAAACAATTTTTTTTTCGTCAATACAGAAACTGCTTCGGACGGAAATTTCAAGCCAGAGTGCATAGAAAATGATCAGATGGAATTTACGAAGAATTTGAACAGTATCAAACACTTTTATAATAATCATCCACAACAAAGTTCTGAGCTTGCCTTTTTTCAACAATATATTTTTATGATTATTCTAGGTAAACAGTATTCAAACAGTATGTCATGAAAATTCATGTTTTTCTTTTGTAACTATTAATTAAGTAATGCTTATCAGAAAGGAACCATGCGACCTTTTTATGAAACTGAGTTTATGGCACTATATGCCATAAATTACCTTGCACTGGGACCTAAGTGGATCATTGCAGATACAGAATAAATCAAAAAGGACCTAAAGGCCTGGTTCCGAGTACCAATGTCAATAATATATTCAGTAATCATCGATCTATAGTAGGTGAATGTTTATTATTATTAACGGCAACCAGTGTTTTATCAACAGTGTATTGACGGTATATTTTGATCAGAAGTCATGAATCGCGGAAGAAAATTGGTACAAATAGCATTGGATTAAATTAAAGATCCCGTAAGGGTGAGTGAATTTTATTATTACCAATATTTCCCCGAAGTTTTATATCCACACAATTGTGAAGGAACCATATGTTAGATTTTGAAATATTTCTTGATGAAATCTCTGCTGGAAGTCGCCATCCTTCATGACTCTTCCACACTACTTGATGAAACACTCAATACTCAGGAAGAACTGTTTGATATCGAAAATATGCAATGTGTATTTGAAGATCAAATTCCGAATTCAGAAATAGAAGATGCAGATGATGTTGACTACATTCCCATGTCTGAAATTGAACTTGAAGGTGATGGAACCATAATGGAAACTGCAACAGGACGACAAAAGAAGTGAAGGAAAAAAAATTGTTGGACAGACATTTGAATTTGAAGCTTTCTTTCAATATGTTCAAGAAATACTTTTACGATCAATCTGCGGAAAAAGCCATTGGTAAAAGACGCATGTAGCATATGAGATAGATTTAAGGCATCTTAAAGCCAACAAAACATGAAAGAAGCATACAAGAAGCATCTGCAAGAAGCTGAAACTACCAGACAAAAGTTGAAGGCAGATATGAAAGAAGCGGAAGAAATTCCTGATCTTGAGACGTTGACTTACGACATGGAAAAAACTCTACCACTGCCCAATATTCCCACAAATTTAGTTTTTTCTATAAGGCAACTCTGGATGTACAATGAAGGTGTCCTTTGTGGAAAAAATGGATACTGCTTTGTATGGAAAGAGGAGACAGCTGGGCGAGGGGCCCAGGAAGTTGGATCTGTACTGAAGAAGTTCATTGAAAATCATCTCAATCCAAACACAAAAACGCCGATAATGTGGTTAGATAGTTACGGAGGACAGAATCGTGATATTAAGATAGGTTTAGAAACAGTTTATTTCAAGTACCTAGTACCGGGCCACACCTTTCTACCAAATGATTCATATTTTTCATTTATTCAAAACGCAATAAAGATGAATCAAAGGATTTATACTAGTAAGGATTATATAAACATAATGAAGCATCGCCAACATAAAAAACCATTGACTATAATAGAAGTGAAGAAGAATACTCTCAGAACATGTTAACAATTGCCACATAACTATGTTTGCAGATGATACCACAATGACAATCACTGGGTCTACACTGGAAGATGTATTAACAAGAGTCAAAGAGGTTATTGATAGATTTACGTCATGGTGTGAATGCAATCATTTGATATTAAATAC